TATCTACCATTAGTGACGTTCCTCTCTCCGATTAAAGAATAAAGGAGAAGAATGTTTGTCCTGGTAAGAGGCCTGGCTTGGAAGCGAGAATTCATAAGAATGACTTGTGCGATTTTACGATATGCACCCTAAGTTTATAGAGATGGAATAAAGAAAATTGAATATATGCTGGTATATTTTTATTTTCCCTTTGCACCTTTTCATACAATGGTTGGCTTCCCGGTTTATGGAATATTTTGAGAATGAACCTGGCGAGTTATAAATGCAAATTCTACCTTCACTTTCTTCTGTAGGATATCTCGAAGTGTTCTCAGTATTACAAGCACTCGCCCTTTTTTAATTTTAACGATCAATTTTGCTGCCCTTAACACTTGTTGGAAAACAAAACTTACATTGATTTCCGAGAATAATTTGTTACATTTTGAGCTTTAGCCTTTCGCCGTTCGCTCTGACGAAAGACGGACGCTCTAAATGTCGGCTCTAAAACTCTTTACGGTGGCCAATTAACGTTATCAACTCAGTTGATAATACTAAATTACCCTGTTGCACTCTCCCACTGACGCAGTACCGCAGTTTCTTAAGGAACTTACCCCCTACCTACTCGGTACTCGGGTACTCGGGTACTCGGGTACTCGGGTACTCGGATACTCGGGTTCCTCCTCAGTGCAACACCTTATCCATAAACCTTTTGAGCTGAGTAATTTAGGAAATATAGATAGGATAACAAATTGAATAAGAAAGATAGCAAGTTTTTGAGCTCGCTAAAGAAATAGGGAAAGAGGTTTTTTCTCTTTTCACGTGCGTAGGACAGATAAAAAATTCTGGAACCCCATTTGAAATCGCATCTCAAAGCTTCGAACTCCGCGCTCCGATGCTCTACCACTGAGCTACAGAAGCTCTATGGTAAGCAAGGCCCACTTCGAAGTTCAAGCATAATACGCGTCCCGCAAACTGCTAAGATCAGAAATGTCGTTAGCCTAATGTTTTGTAAATAGAAGAAGAAAAATGGCAAGATTTTTGGTTCGGTAAAGACATAGAGAGGCAAAGGAAAAGTCTGAGTCCCCATGAGGATTCAATCTCAAATCTCGCGCTCCGGTGCTCTGCCACTGAGCCACAGAGACTTTATGATGGGCAAGGCCCTCTACAAACTTCTTACGTGACACGCGTCCTGTACACTGCTAGCAAGCGTTAACAAAATAATAAGGTCAGAACAGGGTAAAAAATAGTCCCTTTGATAAATCTCTCTCATTAAGAGAAAATAACGGTCCCATTATTTTCTAATGTTTTTATTTTAAACTCAAGTTTTACAGGAAAACGTATAACCAATATTCGCGGGTTACATGACAAGATTAAATTGTCGTGAGGAAATTTCGTGGGTGAGTCGTCACGGGTAAATTGAAAAAAAAGGGTCGTTTAGTTAGAAAAAGGCCGTGAGGAAAGGATATTGTCGCACACCCTATGTCGCAATAAAATCTGCTATTAATCTCATCCCTGGAAATTGAAAAAAAAAATTGGGGGAAAGAGAAGTCAGCTGGGAAGAGCTGAGAAGAAGGCAAAGGGCGAACAGCATTGGGGGCCTCTAGCCACGACGAGGATGGACTGAATTAAAACTAAAAGAGTAATAAGTCGACAAAAACTTTTTCGCGAACTGATGGACGAGAGGTCTTAAATCCACACTGCCCTCAACGAACATAATGGGTCGGGCAGTATACAATATTTTTTTCCACTTTCTGTTATTTAATATCCTTTCCTATACATACATAAATATACTTTATTTATGCTCGAAATTCACAGTGTAGCTGAAGAGCTAATATCTTCGAGAAAATAAGCTAAAATAAAATAAAAATATGCTATATCACAATTCCAATGTTATTTATAAACTATATACAACATTATGCATGCAGAGAGAAATATAACTTGTAGATCTACTGTGGAAAAGCTTCAAATCTGAGGATCTCCTGCTTGAATTCTAGAAATTGAATGTTTTGTAAGTGTCTGGGAGAGAGTTCCATATTTTGCTAGCTAAGTATGAAAAAGAGTGCAGAGCGTAAGTCGTTGTTTTTGGGTTGGGAAAGGACATGATACGATTTCCACGCAAATTGTAGGATGAAGACCGTACGGTGAACATATCTTTTAAATAACCTGGATAATTCTTAAAGAAAAGACTCTTATCTAACGGGATCATGAAGTTCTGGAGGCGTCTAATGAATAGAGATTTTAAGTTAACTTTGCTTAGTAAAATGTCATATGGAGAGCTGTAGTCGGCATTGCGCGCACCACAGAAATGCCAAACAGAAGAACAGTAGTAAAAATGCGGCAAAATAAAGGCTTCATTTAGCGTCTCCTTATTAATAAGTTTCCGAAATCTAAGCATTACGTTAAACTGATTATTTATTTTCTTACAGATAACTGTTATGTGATTAAGAGAGCCCATTATCTATTGTCATCCCAAATATATCTATTGAGTTATTTACTGGGAAACAAAAATTGTGCTCAGGTTTTCCCAGGATTAGAGTTTGGTGCTTTTTCTCGTTAACACTGAATCACGCCATTGTTTTTATACCACTGATTTGCGACATTAAGAGTAAATGTCAGTAAAAATCAAGGAAAATTAAAAAAAAGTGGCCACGGTCAAAAAATCGATCTCGCTCATACTTTGTCAGTTTGAAGGCCTAGGTAAGAAACTGAAGGATATGAGGTTAGTTTTTTGAAGTATTCCATATAACGGCAGAAAACCACGAAAAACGGTCACCCTACCGGAAGCTCGGATTTCACCTAACGGAAACTCGAAATTTTACACTTTTCAGCTTCTCGCTACACAGACGTTTACATAGCTGTGAATCTTTCTTAAGTATAATTGAATACATTGATTCTTCCTTAGTCAAATCATGGGAATTATTTTTATCTCTGCTTATTTGTGAGCGAACTGAGACCCGATTAAGAAGACACACTTTTCTCATTTACGCGAAGGTGTAAAATAATCCAAACTCAGTGACGAAAAAAGCTGACCGGTAGTTCTTCAAATCCTCTGATATTATAACCAAAGACAGTTCAGTCATTGATTTTTAGGTCTACGGTTTTAAATCTTTAGGATCTAGTAGCACTTTTGCATGAACGCCGATCAAAATTCGATAAAATTCCAATTGAGCGCCTTTGAAATCTACAACTCTACATAACAAAGCACTATTGAATAAATTAACTCCTCGGCCAAAGTTTGTACATAAAACATAAGGGTTTTGCTTTTTTAGCGGTTTGAAGCGTTTTAAAAATATATGTTAATGTTAAATATTGTCTATACAGGTAAAACAAACTATGAAACGCCAAAATTACCACGAGCTGAAATTAAATCTCACAGGCTTGCTCCCTAATCTGCATCACGCACGAGCGACTTAGCGACAATTAGTACAGTAACAAACAGATATTTACATCCGTTGATTTTAAATAAGTCGTATTTTTAAAATATCTTACTCAAAGATATGCCAGGTTTCCCAGTTAACTTGCTGAAAAAAAAAGAAAACCTTGATAGTAATTCTAGCTCAATTAGAATTGATTTTATTTAGTATGAGAAGTTTTGTGCCGTCGAAAACCAATTGGAAGTAACTGTTTCCACGAAAAGCAAATATTGCATCGTTCTCTAAATAAACAAATCTACTTAACCATATTACCAGAGTATGTTGTTGGCGAAGTTAATAGACATACATAACAACGACGTCTTGCTCGTTCTTGAATATTGTCGGTGGGATTTGCGTCGCAGACGAACGCACTTGCTAAGTAACTTCCAATGGCTAATTTCTACCCTTACTCAGCTTTCGTCACACTTCTCACGCTGTGTAGCAAGGATATAAAATATCGCACGAAGTCCTAAAAAACTCTCCGGACTTGAACCAGAATTGGTTTTTAGCGAGATTGCGTGTTTTTAAAAGCCAACGAGTTTATTGGAGATGACTACCCGTACCGTCTCATCGTGTCACTTAGGCATAACCTGACACGATGTCGATAGTTTCGACTCCTGATGGCCAAGAGCACTCGGATTTCTTTTTTCCCGAGTACGCCTGTGTCACTTACTGAATAATACATCATTCTCATTTATTCACCAGGCTTAAAAATATTCCATCACATTTATTCCATTGCGCGTATGCCACACATAACATTCCAATCCTAGCAGTATGCAGGATGTTTGTCCCATGAAGCACTCGAATTTTTTTTCCCATTATGCCTGTGTCACTTACTGAGTAATACATCATGTTCAAAAGTATTAATTTTTGCACCATACAGGAAGTTGTTTCGGGTCACTCAGCAAGAGCTGTGAAAAGTAGCCGCACTGGAATAGGAATATATTTTTTCCAATCCATGAAGATATTTGACCTTTCAAAATAGCTCGTCCCTATGGGCTCAGGTAAATAACAACTAAAAAATGTACTTCCAAGCAGGAACTGTCTCCAATGAGTTTTGTATCCTCTTCATTCTGTTGTCCAATGCGACTATTAAAAACACTATGAGTTTTACGACTTGCATGTTTTATTGATTGCGCTTGTCAAACAACACTACAGTCTTGTAAAATTAAAAAACGATCTCTGGCTAAAACTTTTAAAAAATACGAGCTTTCGGCTGTTTGCGCTACAGCCTTCAACGGGTAAAATGATAAAAAGGTAAGAAATACTAGGTGTGAAGTACAAAGTAAAAAATTAAAAATGCTTATAACTAAGAATGTTTGTTAAAAAGAATGTTGTATTGTCCGGGCAAAGGACAGGAATTGTTGTCCGCATTGGGAGTTAACTTGGAATGCCACGCTTCTAGTGTTTTTCTTGTTCTAAAACCGCCTTTGTCAATAATAGATGCATTGTCAAAGTCTATTGCGTGACTATTGGCCCAGACGTGATTGGCAATTCTTGAGCCTTTTGCCGCGGTTTTCACATTTCTGAGGTGTTCTTTCTTTCTTGTGTTGAAGGCCCTGCCAGTCTCACCAAAAGTTTGGTGAGATCGTTTTTTAATTTTACAAGATGTTTTATCCTGGCTGCGGCCCCTCTATCTTTTCACGTATACGCCAAGAGGCTGGGCAGAAAGCCCTTTCGCTCGCTCGACGCTTAGAGAAAACAACTTTCAAACTTGAAGCACATCATCGTCACCTACACTTCACTCACAAAGCATTGGATAACCAACTTGTCCCTAAATCGCTGCGATTCAAACCACCAGGCAGCCATCCTGTCTTCCAACAAATAATGAATCGCGCTAGCAAGCACTGCCTACGAGCAAGAATAACCATCTGCCATGAGCACATCAAAACATCAAGGACCGCCATCGAAAACACCAAGCGTGAACTGTGCTCCCTAATCAATGAGGACACCTATGCGACCTTGCTACTATTCCTAAAGAACAGAGCCACATCTTTCAACAACAACACCAACACCAGACACGCCAAGAAACTTGCTACTATGAAATCCACTGGTTATCAAAAGTCTGATATCGACAAGAACAACTGGGTTGTGAACCTTTCCACCAAACCACTCTTACCAGAAGAACGATCTCTCCTAGAGAAAGGTCCAAAATTCGCTCCGACGCCCACAAGCATTCCACACAAGAACATTGTGTCTGAAATCGAAGCGGCTATTCGTCACCTTCCTGATATTTCTAAAGATACTGTTAGAACTAGTTCTGCTGCCATCCTACATAGAGCAAGACTGCCGGCGCATAAGAATATTTCTAAGGAAGAAAGAAAAGCTTTAAACGATCTTAAGAAGGATCAATCTAGAGTCATAATGAAAGCTGATAAGGGAAACTGCTTTGTCGTCATGGACAGATCAGACTACGACAACAAAATGGAGACTTTGCTCAATGACAGATCCACCTATGAGCTAGTTTCCACATCACCTTTCCGCCGGATTGAACGCGAATTGAATGCCATGTTACTCTCCTTAAAGAGACAAAAAAAGATTGATGACCCAACCTATCGTAAACTTCACTCAACCGACGGCACACCACCAGCGATCCGCGGCTCAGTTAAACACCACAAAGAAGGGAACCCACTGAGACCCATTGTCACCTGTATTGGCTCAGCCCTCTACAACACGTCCAAGTTTCTAACGTATATTCTATCTCCAATTCAAAATCGTAACGGATACTCTGTTGCCAATTCCTTGCAGTTTTCCAAAGAAATATCTGACATCAAGATCGACGAGAACGAAGTCTTGGTTTCCTTCGATGTTGTATCACTGTTCACCGCGATCCCTGTTGACAAAGCATGTGATTACATCAAGATCAAACTGGAACAGGATGCCTCTCTTCCATCCAGAACAAATTTGGACATCAATGACATAATATCACTCCTCCAATTTACCCTGTCCAACAACTATTTTATGTTCAACGACAGAGTCTACAAACAAGTACACGGATGCGCTATGGGCAGTCCAGTTAGCCCTGTAGTGGCCAATCTCTGCATGGAAGAAATCGAGGAAAGTGCGATTAACAGTTCATCCGTCCCTCCTAAAATCTGGAAATGTTATGTCGATGATAGCTTCTGCATCATCAAAAAAGACAATGTGCCAGCTTTCCATGACACATTAAATTCAATTGACGCCAACATCTCTTTCACCATCGAAATTGAAAGTGACAATAAGATCTCCTTTCTCGACACTTTGGTCACCCGGAGAAATGGCACCATCGCTGTCGATGTTTACAGAAAGCCTACGCACACGGACAGATATCTAGACTACAATTCTCACCATGATAATAAACACAAGGCCAGCACAGCAGCAACTCTTCTACACAGAGCCCTAAAGCTACCCAACTCCTCCGAAGGAAAAGAACGAGAACTTAACCGAGTTTATTCAGCACTTGAATCTAATGGTTATCCATCGAATTTCATTAAAAACATCCAGGCCAAAAAAACCCGACGCTCAACAGTGTTGTCCCCGGAGGAACTTGTTGGCACATTTTTCAAGATCGTCGGGGCGTCCGAATCACGCAAGTCGTTCGCCTCTCTTCCATACATTAAAGGCGTAACAGAACCTCTGACTCGTGTCCTCAAAAAACACGACATCACAGTGGTGAACAAACCACTCATCACCCTCCAACAACAGTTCCCGGCTCCAAAATTTCGACCATCGTTGGAATCGCAAACAAATGTTGTTTATAAAATTCCTTGTGGTGACTGTTCATGGTGTTATATTGGTGAGACTGGCAGGGCCTTCAACACAAGAAAGAAAGAACACCTCAGAAATGTGAAAACCGCGGCAAAAGGCTCAAGAATTGCCAATCACGTCTGGGCCAATAGTCACGCAATAGACTTTGACAATGCATCTATTATTGACAAAGGCGGTTTTAGAACAAGAAAAACACTAGAAGCGTGGCATTCCAAGTTAACTCCCAATGCGGACAACAATTCCTGTCCTTTGCCCGGACAATACAACATTCTTTTTAACAAACATTCTTAGTTATAAGCATTTTTAATTTTTTACTTTGTACTTCACACCTAGTATTTCTTACCTTTTTATCATTTTACCCGTTGAAGGCTGTAGCGCAAACAGCCGAAAGCTCGTATTTTTTAAAAGTTTTAGCCAGAGATCGTTTTTTAATTTTACAAGATGTTTTATCCTGGCTGCGGCCCCTCTATCTTTTCACAACACTACAGTCTGTCATTGATAGAGAAAATAAAGTTTAATTTTGACAATATTCGATGAAAAATATTAAGAATTTTCCAAAGAGGGCACCGAAGAATAAATAATGTGCACTGTCATTTTTACGACATTTAAAAAGGAGGGAAGGGGGTGGGGGAAAGGATTTAACAACCATACTACTCTCTCTCCCCAACCACCCACAAAGTGCACAGTTTGCAGAGTATACTAGTGGAAACGTCACATCAACATTTATATGTTTACGTTTAATAGCACAATTAAGGTCGTTGCATCACTCCAATATGGCCATTTCCTCACAAAACTATATTTAAGTAGATCTTTGATCAATCTTGTACGTCAAGCTTTGTTACTTTGAATTTTTCTTGGCTTCTTGCGGAGACAATTTCAAACTTTTTAGCCCTAAAACTTTGAATGGATATACAACTGTAATTAGCTTACATTACGGACTGGTTGGCTGGTTTAATTCGGTGGCAGCCTTGAGGTGGTCGCCATACCATTAGTGTATCTACCTCTTCACTGAACACACTTTTAAAAAAAGATAACGATCAAATGAAACGATTTTTTCGAAAGAAAATAAATGATGTTATCTTGTATACAATTATGCGCAAGGCATAATTACTCAACAGAAAACAGTTTATTAATCTGCTTATGAGGTACAGCCGCACTCGCCTACAAGCTTTGAAAGACGACTAATAAACGGATTCTTTCGTCTTTGTGTTATATCAGAGACGTCCACACCAAGTTCATTGCAAATACTGCGCAGCATGTCCACACTCAGTGATATCAGATTTTTCTTGCCCATGCGCATGAGTTCACAGATGTTGTAACCCGAAGACGATACAATGGGGTGCTGAAGGGAAACCTCTCTCATCACTTGCGCGCAGATTTCAGATTGGATTACCTGTTCTTGTGATGCTCTATCATCTTCTCTAGTGGTCTCTTCGTCCGACTCTTCCCGGTTCACTGTACTGGGAGGAAGCCTTTTCTTTGCTGCCAGTCGTGAGAAGAATCCAGTGATTTGCTGTCCTGTTAGAACTTCTTCTGGTAGAAATCGACGAGCTCTTAACTCGTCCCTTGAAGATCTCATCATTTTTGAGACTTCATTCGGATCTGCTTTCCTTCCACTCTGCTCGCCAATTTCAAATTGTTGTTTCAAAAATTCATTCTGTTTTTGCGTAAAACGTGTCTCCTTTGCGATTGTCTTAAGTGCCCATCCCATTGTAAGGGGCGAAAAGCATCGGCTGTTTTGTTCTTCACATTGTAACTGCACAGTGGAAATCCTGCTACCTTCATCCATTAGCTTTGAAGCATATCCTCGTTTTGCTTTGTCATAAAGCGTTTCCTGTTCAGGTAGTCGCTTGTGTTTCCCCGTGTCTAGATGTGCTTGTAATGATACAAAGTGGCTGTATGCTTTAATGCACCCTTCCTCGGGGCAAGGGAAAAGCGGCGAGGCTTGCTCGTTTTCACCATCATCATCTTCTTGTTCTCGGCTATTGGCATCACTGGCTGCGTTTGGATCACTTGCAGATTTTTTATTTACATCTCTGTGTCTCACCTTCTTGAAAGATGGCTTAGTACTCAATTTCTGCGATGGGGGATCAACCACTTCAAGAGTTTCCGGGACCTGCAAAACTCCTTCAAACTGAGACCACGGTAGCAACTTTCCAGGACCCACATTAAATGCCCTCCACGCTCGTATTCCGTTCTCCTCATACTTGAAGTTGTTGAGTAAGCTTACACCATCCCATTTGACGTGCCGAGTGCTTGACGGGTTGAATGTAACGTAACTAGCCTTAGCGCAAGATCCTGGGCCAGACTCTATGGCTGTTTTGAGCTGAATTGCTGTTGTCACATCATTGCCCTCGTTTACATATCTTCCAATGTCTCCTTTAATAGTCGCTGCTTGGCGGTCGCATATTCCTTTTCCACCTTGAGGATCGGAAAAGTCGTTCCGTTCCACGCCCACGCCAGCAATGTCGCCTGCAAATTTTGCTGAAACGATAGTGTATCCGCTGTGGTAACAGCCGGCATTATCTTGTTTATAAGACGCCCTTTCTAATTCCGGCATTTCCTTCTTCAGCGAAACAAGACAATCCTGCATTATCGATACCACTACAGCACTGTCTTGTAAACAGTTCTGAAAGACATGTACGAATATTTGAGACTCAAACTGCCCGCCTTCTTCCGACTTCCTAATAGCAACTGTTATGTGCCATGGTAAACCGCGCTTAGCAAACCAGTCTGATTGCGGCTCTCGAAATTTTCGTGGCATAAATTTCATTGCCCAATCCTGCACTAGTAACACGTCGCATTTGCTCTTCATTTTAGCTAGAACAGAACATTTGGCCTGATCTTGGTGAACGAAGCGCAACTGGTGGGCTTTCCAGCTCATGATATTATTTCTGGCCTGCTTAACAGCGTGTAGCATGTCCGATTTCTGCTCCTCGTTACAAACTGCACTTGAACACTCACTCTCCAAGATGCTTAGAACTTCTTGCAGCTGGCAACACTGTGCACATGCTTCGTTGTGTGAATGACTGCAGTGGCCTTGGAAGTCAGAGTCTGTTGAGTCACTTAAGGCGTAAGTCCTACAATGATCAGCAATGCTCGAAGACTCAACCACATGGACCTGAAACAAGCCGAAGACAACAAAAACGTAAACAATTTCAATCACCGCATTTCCTCCAATAAGCGAGCTCCTCTTAAGTAAATCGCCCTTGGAACAAGCGCCCAACCTCTATATTAGGAGCCCCTTCCTGACTCGATCCAGCGCCCGGGCACTTAGCGGAGGAAATACAGTAATTATATCGTCCTGATCTTAACTACTATTTCTATAAAACAATTACATTGAAAAGGCCGACGGTCCCCCTTTGTTTGCAAAATGTATAAATATAACTTACAGGTTATCGACAATAATTCCTTCCTTAGTTACACACGAGAGGACCTGGAACTAGTTCAAGTATCAATATTATGCATTTTCAAAGATTTGAACTTTAGGAAAATAATTTGCCTGTGTTGTTGCATCAACTTTCTGTCAGTTTTGCGCCTTTCTTTTGAAGTACTTCATAACAAACCGTGTAATGAAATAAATCAAATACCTTGTAGTCACTTTTCAGGTATTGCTTTGATGAGCGTAACTGTTGCTTCATTTCCCTGGCCCACACTTCTGTTTTTCCACAATCAACCAGTTTATCGACCACTTTGTCCAGGTCATCAAATACCTCTGCTCCTTGAGATGAAAAGTTATCAAGTCCTTGAAAAGACTTCCTAACAGAAGCAGAACACTCATCTAGCACTCTATGCAGTGTTCGCCTGCTCATGGGCTCAAAACCTCTTTCACTGCAATATTGTTGGTACTGTTGAACAATACGCTCCGGAATCATCATTCTGATTATATTTGGTGTTTTGATAACCTCACCGGTTGATAACTTCAAAAGCCTTTCGCCAAATGGAACATCTTGAATCACATGTGAACTTGTGATAAATGAAATGAAATCTTCCAATTTTCCTTGGTTAACTTTCATTCTCCTGTTTTCTTGGCGAGGAATCGGTTCTGCTCTTCCATGAAGCAGGGTGTGGTATCGCGCTATGTCAAAGCGGTAACTTGTCAGGGTTGGGATAAATTCTTGTACCTCTTTGAAAGACAACTTGTCAGCCAGGATTGAGAGTATTTGCCGACGGGTACTCCAGTGTTGAACGTTCAAATAACTCTCGGCAAACGCTTGAAGAAGCTCCACTTCCTTACAACTTTTCCCGCCAGTTGTTCTTCGATTCACTTCGCGCTCACATAATTCCCTCCACAAGCAATTCGAATCTTAAGGAGCAAGGACTTCCATTACTGCTGAAGCACACTGTTCAGCTTTTCTCAAATAACGGCGTTTAGTACGGCTTTGAGCTACATTCCATGGTACTGATAGTACGTGGCGGACTGGGCTGGTGTCACGAAGCTGTAGAAAGCGATTGAGCTGTTTCAGGGATTCACTTTGCACATAGTTTATGTCATCTTCGCTTTCTTGCGAATCTTCGTCTGGCACGTAAAGGCTCTCTCGTTTAGATCTACCTTCTTTGCATTCAGTATCAGTGATCGGTACAGGAAGGGAAATATCAGTGTCATCTTCATGATCGACCTGTAGTGCGAAAAAGTTAAAATATTTTCTATATACAATGAACAAAAGATTCGCCCACGATTCGTGGGCCAGTTCGACATTTCTAGTGAAGTTAGTGTTAAAAAACACCTATGACTTCCTTATACCATTCACGAACCCTGCTTCCGACTCTGGATTACCAAGTTTTCCAGTTAAGCTTTATATTAACGAAAGTCTAATTAAGAGCTGTCTAATTTCGGCTGCCATGGACACATATCATAGGACAAGTAATTTAACAGTCCTCGACACAAGCTTTTTAGATTTCAAATGGTGTAATATAACGTATTTAGGTTTTGATGTACAAATTAATTTTCTTACTTCTGCAGATACACAATGGAGAGGGTTGGCCACCCATCCAATCTACATCCTCCTCTCTCCTGCCCCCTCGCCTGCCTCCCACCCAGCCCCCCCCCCCGGCAAATAAAATAAAAATTAAAAAAAAGACCTTAAATATACTTTAAAGTGTGGGGAATAGATCAAGACGTAAACGACGTCATAATGATTTTGGATTGTGAGTTTGTATGACTTTGTGAAGTGAAAGGATGAATGCTTATTGGTGGCCTGAAGAAACGTTTAGAGATGGGCTGACATGACAGAAAGACTATAAGGTCTCTGATAAGCGATATAACTGGGAAAGTGTCTTGCCACCGGTATTTCATATTATATAATAAAGCATGTGCGTATACTCACCAGGTTTAACTTGTTCAAGGTTTCGGCGATCTCTGAAACTTCAGCGGTCATCTGGCATTTCTCAGGTGCTCTTTCCCTATACAAACTAAGCATCTTTCTGCATTTTACGCAAATTCCTTTAGAAAAAACATAGTCAAACTCCCGTCAAAACTCCGAAATTACCGAAAGGCGCGTATTTTTAAACACAAAAGTCTGAAGTTTTGTCGACCCACAGAATAAAATAACAATCGAAAGTTGACTGCGCGATAAGAGGTGAGAAGAAGGGGGGGGAGTAGCATTGTGATTAGACTATCCTTTTATTTGTTTATTGTTTATATCTTTCTCAAGTGGCTTTTTGCGAAACGAAATTGAAATGTTTTAAACAAAGTAAATTAACCCCTACTAACCGAATTCCAGATGCGTACTGTAAGTTACAGACCGTGAAAC